TTGGAAAGACAAGATCATAACAGTCGAAGATAGATACCAGAGGTCCAAGTTGGCCCGTGAATCAAGCCGAGTGTCGCGTTTAGAATCCCTTCTGCAGGCGTTAATGCATCAACCGCCCAAATATCGTCAACTAAACTTTAGCCATTAGTGCCAAATGCAATGGATTTCTTTTGGAAGTTTCTATTATTTTGTCAAATTGCCTTCACAAAAATCGACCTTTTGGACTAAAATAAACGCATTCAACATTCATATTCCTTTTAATCTGTTCTGTATGCATAAATTTATTAGGATTAATACACTTGGCATGCAATAGTTTGAATTTGAGTCTTAAAATTTATTTTGTTTCATATTTCCATTCACATTATAATTAGGAAATGATTATATTTTAGAATTTTGTAAATTCACTATATATGTCAATTTTCATTATTCTATTAAATTTATTATTCTTTTACATTTCAAGTGATCTTTATATACATTTATCTAGAAAAACTTGAAATTGTTCATGTTATAAATATTTTATCTGAATATCATCTCCGATCGAATATAAAAATAATTTTATATTTTATAATAATGACCATTTATGAAAATTTTATTCTGCTAATTATACGTTTAAATTAATTTCAACCAATAGAAAATTAAAGAAAAAAAAAGTAAACATCATTTTGAAGTAATTTTAGCAACCCTAGTTGTTACTACCTAAAGAAAAATGTTTGTTTTTGTTATATATAGATAAGCATTTGTTTATACTCATTCATTTCTCTACTCGTGAATCAAACTAATATATTTACACACATATATATATATATGATTTTTTTTTTATTTTTTAAAAAAGGATAATAAGTAACTCCCAATCAATTTTGAACCGCTCATGAATTTATATTCTTGTTAATTTCATTTTTATTTTCAATTTGCCTTATCAATATGGAATTAAAATTTTATTTTTTATTTCATTATACGCACCAAATAAGGTTTAAAAGTTATAATGTGATGTTCCAAAAATTATATTAATATATATGTTGGAGCAATAATATTATTTAGACCTAATTTAAAAAAATCATAATAAAAATGTGAAATCACAATAATTTTCTTATATTTCTCTTAAAAATATAAGTAATTCAATTTTTAGAAAAAATATTGTGGCTGGGGTTGAAAAGCATAGTACTGTATGCAGAACAGTTATGAGGAGACGAAAGCAAAGCATTTCCGACAAATTGAACTACTCGATGACAGGCTTGACATGCAAAAGCACCACGTGGCTTACGCTATCTTTTTATCTAACTAACTTACAAACAACCCCCACCTTCCATAACACGTCATATCCTTCTCGAGTCTTTTGACACGTCATCTAATTACAACTTGACCTTTCCATTCCGTCTAATCTACTACTCCAAGGCGTAAGGGCAAATCTGGGCCGGACTCAAACCCAATTGGGTCTTTTGTGTATTTTGCCCATATTACCCTGCGTTTTGCTTCTTCCAGGAAAAGTCTAGATTGGAATCAATTCTACTCTGGATGAAGCTGAGAGATACGTTTGCTTAAAAATGCAATATCTTTTGCACAAGGAGACAATTGGAATTATATCTCGTGAAGAACCAACAAACAAAAGATTACCAAATCTCACGTTGTTAGGGTACAAGACACTTCAATACCTTACCTAGGATATTTAATTGCATATGTAAAGAATAATTAAACATATAATTATGTTTTTTTTTTTTAAATATCAACACATTAAAAAATTCACAATTCCCATTTCCTTTTTTCAACCAATGGACGGAATTCTTTTTACAATAACAATTAGGTTAAATATAACAAAAGAAGTTTCTAACAGTCAGCATTTTCCTACAGTGTTATTTCAGGCCATAAAAACCTTAAGTAAATTAAAAAAAAAATAGAAGGAAAAATAAAAGTCCGAAGATGTCTGCTGAAAATAAATGGCAGATAGAAGTGATAAACGATGGAATTATTAGGGTTAAGTATCAAAAAATTGGGCCCTTCCTTTTAGGCCCCAAGGCATAGGCCTCAGTGATTTATTATTAACCCACTGATTATTGATTTTCGAGGTCTTAAGTTCAGATTTTGCAAAAAATTAAAAATAAGAATATTCAGTGGTATATTAAATTTTTAATACTTCTACAAAAAAGATGGCAATAAAAAAAAGGATATTTGATCATTTCTTTTTACATGTATTCAAAAATTAACTAATTTCAAACCCTATATAGGCTTTGCAGGTTAGTACTCGAGCCGAACGTAGTTGAAGCCCATTAGACTTTTAAATATCGATTATTATAAAAAAAATAATAACTAATTTCAAAATTGTTATTTTTATTTGAAAATTTATCAGGAAATTTTTATGAGCTCTATTATAATTCAAAATTCAAAACTTTTTAGATTTTTTAAGTGGATTATTTAGTGTTATAGCTAGATTTTTATTTTTATTTTTATTTCAATTCATGGCTCTTGTTTAGGTTTCTTTACTTCTGTTGGAATTTCTCTTTTTTAAAATGAATGGAATTCTTCATTCATCATGGGCTGATATGCAAATTTATTTTATTTATTTTTACCTCAAATTTTAAAAATAAATATTAATAAGCCTATATTTTATTTTGAGCATTGGGAAAGTGGATTTAAATTTGGATCTATTGACAAGTCATATATGCACTTATCACTAGATTATGTATTGGTGTACACTAAGCCTGTACTTTTACATCACTTTTTAAAATTAAAATTATTATCTTTTTGTCAAACAAATATATGAGATATGGTGAATTTTGACATGAACATATAAAAGTTTCATAACAAGTAGTATTATAATGAATTTAAAAATTTTAAACTAATTATTTTTCAAAAAAATTATGGATTAATTGCTGTCATTGGCCGGCTACCGGTTAGCAGTTATGGTATACTGTCAATAGCTAACCCTTCCAATGTTGTCAGCTCATTTACAAAACATTCTGATGTTCCTTGTTCTTAGTATATTCTAGTTGTCTTATGTATAAGGATAAAAAAAAGTCATATTTAGAAAAATAAGGATAAATAAATAAAAAGTTTACTTATAAAAAATGATTTAAGTAATAAGAGAAGTTTAGCATAAAATTAATTATTTTAATAGTTATTAGTTGTCCGTTATTTTAACAAGTGTTTCATCAAATATTAGATGAGACAACATTAGATAATCTATTTTCTCAAACTATAAACATTAATATAAATATTTTATTAAACAATATAAATAATAGAGACAACATTTTAATTTTAACTAAAACACTAAATACTACTATGGAAAGTTGTTGGCTGAAAAAATATTAGAATGTGTTCGGTAATAACTTTTAAGTAGCTTTTTATAACCAATTAAAATAATAAACCTTATTTTTTATAGTGTTCGGTAATACGGTGTTCGAAATAACTTTTAAAAGTTAAAATAACTTTTTTTATAATAGGTTATTCCTTATGATGTTTTGCTTTTAGCGTTTTATGAAAACCTACCGAAATAGCTAACAAAACTATAATTATGTAGAAAGTTATGTTCGGCAACAGCTTTTTAAGTAGCTTTTTAGTATTTTGATTGGTCAAAACGCTAAATGCTACTTTTTACGGTGTTTGATAACATATTGCTTGGAATGACTTTTAAAGTTTAAAGTGATATTTTGTGAAAAGTTAACTAATGTAACGTTTAACTCTTATCGTTTTATAAAAAACAACTCAAACAAATAATAACAAATAATAACTATCAAAATCATCTAATTTTTTTGGACGTATCATTTTCCACTCTTGATACGGCTAGGGCCTATGGAAAGGGTTGGTGGTTGTTGACAATACAAGACTTTGTTAGAAGTTGAGGAATTCCATTAAATCCAGCATTTATAACTTTTATCAAGTAAGGTCCACATGGCTAAGGTTCTGTTTGACGAGTAAGCAGCCTTGCATTTTCAAACTCAATTATCTAACAAGATAACAAGTACCGTGTACCAATTTCATCCTTTAACTTTAATATTTTGTACAATCATGCTCCAATGCGATCTTTATACCGATTTTATTTTGAATCGTGACTTTTTATTGCAATATCACTCTAAATTTTAATTAAAATTTAAATTATAAATAAAAAATAAGTTCATTATTGATCTTGAACTTAGATGCATTTAATATATTTATATAAGTGAAGTAGTTTGGATTAACAGTAAAGAATTAAAGATAACCTCTATTATTATTTTTATATTTTTAAATAATTTCTTTGAGTGATAATAAATAATATTTAAAAATTAATTACTTGATACATGAATTTTTTTATTTTAAAAATTAGAATATAATTATTATTTATATTCTCTAATTCTTTCTAACTATTGATAGTTAATCGTAAATTGTATTTTAAATGACTTTTTACTTGTAAGTTCAATGATTCGAAACTTATTTTACTAATAATATTTCCCGGAGAAGTTTGAGTGTAGAACTACATGTAGACCTAAGTTTTCAGTAAAGAATAGTATACAAATAAGGACTCGTCTTCTTCCTCCTCTCCATCAGTAAAACGTGGATACAACTGGGGAGCAATGCAATAACTTTCTTGAATTATTGCAATAAATTAACATTCTTGTCGTCTTCCTTCCAAAATCGCCGGAGATAAATTTTAATTTTGTTATACAAATATTAGTTGCATGATTTGAAGCTCTCACTTCTCAACTAATGGCCTTGCATAATTATTTTAAAAAAATAAATAAATAGAAAAAATTATTCATCACTAACCTGCAAGAAAATTTATGCATCCATAACATATATGTAACTGCTATAAAATTATAAATATGTTCCATTCTCATTTTATTTAAAAGAAAAAAAAAAAAAAAAAAAAGGCCTTGCATAATTTATTTTAAAAAAAATAAATAAATAGAAAAAATTATTCATCATAAACCTGCAAGAAACAATCTTATGGCATTCCATAACATATATGTAACTGCTAATAAAAATTATAAAAAATATGTTCCATTCATCATTTTTATTTAAAGAAAAAAAAAAAAAAAAAAAAAAAAAAAAAAAAAAGACTAAACAGAAACAAATGAAGGATGACTAATAATATGATTTAAGAATAGCTCCACAAAATGTACAAATAACAGCTTTCCAAGATTTCCAATAAAACGGGACATAACAAAACCTGGTAGCTGTTCTCATGTCAGCCACGCTAGCGCCGCTGCCGCACCGGGAACATGATCCGGCCACCGGCTTGGTACTTCTAATTTTCCTTCTTTGGTCTACCAAGAAGCAAAAGAAAACCATTGATGAAACATGTATGGAGGTTTTTAAATTCCAAGAACCATATATAGGGTATAGGATCGCAGTTAAATAAATAAGATACATAAAGATTGTTAATGGTCGAGCTATTAAGTTGGCGGTGGTGATGATTGTAGCCATTGGATGATGAACACGTGGGATGAGGAGTTCGATTTATAAATTTTACATCATGGATCCTTAAAAGCTAAGCTGCTGCCTTTACAATCACGATTAATTCATGGTATTGGTGTGGCTGAGAACAGTTGGGGGGTATAAATTGAATTTGTGATATGAGTCGTTGGCTAGCAGTTAATGGAAACTTAAATCCTAAGGATTTGAATTAATGGAAACTTTCTTTTACTTTTATATATTAGCATAAAAGAATTTGGTACGTAGGCCACTCTCTTTTATTCATGTCAATGAAAATGGAAATTTCATTTTATTAATTACAGCAAGGGAGAGGTACAGAAAATAAATAGTTAAATACATAAAAAGAGAGAAAGCTGAGACAAGCTAGACATTTCAGATGAAATTATTACATATATATCCTTTATTGGTAAAATATTAATGAGATAAATATCATAGACCTACTATGTATTTATTGGTGTGAATATTTTTTTAAAATTATAGTTAAGCTTTTTTTTTTTTTTAATTTGTAAGGCATCCTGTGAGTTAATTTATTTGGATTTATGATGTAAAATCCACAAAATGTAAGGCTCCGTTTGTTTCTGTAAAATAATTTGCAGAAAAATATTTTCCACAATTTTCTATTCTCAATCATCGCATGAAAACACATATACAAAATAAAAAGAATATAAGTTTAGATGGACTAAATAACATATCAACTCTCTAATTAGGGCAAAATTGTAAGATAAATTTTACAATTTAGAGATAAAAATATAAAATATTTATATTAGATTCTAAACAATTATTTAAAATTTATATTCTTGATTTCAATAAATTAAAATTTCGAACTGTTGAATCTTACAGGTCAAAATAATTAATTAAAAAAAAAAAAAAAGGAAAATGCATATCGTAATCAAACAAATTTTGAAAATGTAGTAAATTTCCACAACATATTAATTCATTCAATAGATAAGAGGTTAGGAGATGGAGAAGAGGGTCATAAGTCATTGCAATAATTAAAGTTGAAAGGAAAAAAAAAAAATAAAAGGAGAGAAATTTAGATATACATGAATGTTGCTATCTTACCTGAACTGCCATGCAATTTTCATGGTATTGACCAATTAGATTTGGATTTGTAATCTTCAAATGTATGAAATTAGGAATGTGCATGTCAAACAAATACAACAATTTCCAGTTTTTGAGCTTATTTTGACTGAACATATTGTAAATGTTCACATGCACATGCCTCACCCTCTTTGAACACACAGAAAGATCTTATGAGACTAGTAATCCTAAAGTTGACTTTGATGTGGCTACTAGTTAGTCTACGTACAAGACTTTATAGCACCGTTTAGTGTTCGATAATAACTTTTTAAATAGTTTTTAATGTTTTAACTAAATGTTATTTTTACTGTGTTAATAACATAACGTTTGAACTAACTTTTAGAGATTAAGATAATATTTTATAAAAGGTTAACCCCTGTTATGTTTAGCTTTTAGCGTTTTATGAAAAATTATTTAAATATCTATTAGTTACTCAAATAGTTAAAAAGCTATTAAAAAAGCTAATAACTACATAAACAGCTAATTTTGCTGCGCATGTCCCTAAAAGAAAACATATATTACCGACAACTAAATTAGTAGTAAATAGTTAATTATTTATACTACATTATCAATATTTGCGACTGTTTATATTTTTATTATGCCCCTTTACCTATAATAATTTTGAATGCAAAAATTAATGTATGCTTTCATATCCAGTTGCATCATTTTTCTTTTAATCATAAATGAAAATTTTTTTACTTTCTATTAAAAATCAACTTTTTTTATTGGTAATTATTGAGAAATGAATTTTGCATTAATTAATAATAAAACAATTAAATGACTTATAATTAAGTGTATAGTGAAATTAATATGAAGCTAATTTTTTTTTTTTTTGTATAAAATGAGTTTCAATGCTTATTTATTAATAAGTATGTGTTTTCAAAAAAAAAAAAAAAAAGAAAAGAAAGCTAAATCATTATGTAACATCCAAATTTCCTCGCTAAATTAGACCTGAGCTAAAAACTTGTCAATAACAAGACATATAAAATTATTTTGCACTAAAAATCTTATGATATTGTAAGAGTGCAAAAGAGTCTATATAAATAATCCTCAAGGCTTTCTGGATAACATTTTACGGATTCTAAAACCCATATTATATATTTGGTCAATTATATTCTGTTGATTGATTATATATCTGTTGGGATATTGTTCCAAAATCTACTATAAATTTATGAAAAATTACTATAGTCGAAACCCAGGATTTTTATTGTGATAAGTAGTCTATCAGGGCTCTTAACCAACATTTATTTATAATTAATATAAAAAAAAGGAAAAAAAAAGAAAAAGAGAAAAGAAGCTATTACTCCTACATTACTATCCGTAATCATAACAGAATTTGTGAAAAGCACTATAAAAGTATATAATATTATTGTCACTACAAATTTGAATTATTAGATTTTTTTCTCATAGTCAATAAGAAATAAGAACAATTTAGCGAGAAATGATTTGAAGAAGTAAAGAGCAGTCAGAATAAATCGTACATAGCTTACGAAAATGCGAAAAAATCACATATAAAGAAGGGAGTTAGGGAATACAAAATGGGAAATACAAACATGAGCCCAATATAGTTAAAAAGACAGGAGAGGAGCCAAAATTGTATAGAACTATAATATGAATCCGAAATGTCAATAGTTGCATAACAACTCCAATAATATATGATACACTTGAAATGCCAAATGTCCTTAGGGGCTTTTTTAATTGCGCTAGCTTTTGAGAGGACACACAGAAATCTCAGTTAACCTCGCGCATAATAGAGTAAATAGAAACAGAATCGGTAAGGTGCCAAAAATTAACCGAGGCTGAAAAATTGTTCGCAAATCGTACAAGCGGTGAGTGACAAAAAATTAAGAACAAAATGTTACCAAGTTAGCTCTTTGCCAGTCGCTTGAAACCTTTAGTTAATCTTTGACTGAACATAGAGACATTGTGAAGAAATTGCGATTACCAAAATGCCCAACCATCTTGTTCCTACCCTCGTCTCTGGCTTCACCGTCGAACACACCAACAGATAGATTCGTATACTATCGGAGTACGATGGTTAACTTTCCTCGCATGTAATGTTTTTGTGTATGCTCTTGCTGCATTGCTAGAGCATGAGCTTATGATGCTTTATTTTTTAGTTTTCATTCTTAATACATTTTAGATCTTCTTTATCAATTGTCTTGTTAGCTTGGATTATCAGTGTTCGAACTGGAACGCGCTTATGTACTTCCTCTTTTAATAAATAAAGATATCCTGAAACAACACTATAGATTTTTTTGAAACCGTGAAGATGGTTACTGTAATTTTTTATTTTTTTGTTTGTTTTATATTTATACAAGTAAAACGCATTTCCAAACCGTAGTTTCAGTTCGCACAATTTTTCTAATCCAAATTTTATCGCATTATTTAATACAAAATTAAGATAATATTGATCATAAGTGACAAGAGAAGAGGTTTCAGTTAGCCCACGCCCTGTCCATGGCCTGGTGTTACCCATTGTGTTGGATTATTAGGCGTCTTTTCTTTAACAGCCTGTGTTTGAAAAAATTAAAGAGTTTAATAAAAATGAATCATGTTGAGTTCAAAGTGTTTGACCGTTTCCCAAACTCCAGTTACAAGCTATTAAAAAAGAGTCCTCTAAATAGTCACTACATCACAACAAACAATGCCTATTACTTGCTATAAGTTTTCGTACAAATTCCCCTTGCGCAGTGTAGCAGAAACGAATTAGTCTCGTAAAATGAATATACCAAATTACTTACCCACTGTACAATAGCATTTAGTAGTAAATAGTATTTTGTTATAAATCACTCTATCTATTTATATATTTCCTACAAATTTTGCAGCGAAATTATTTGCGAATGCTTTGTATTTGTATTTATTTTATTTTGTTCCCCTTTCCCTTTTCTTATGTTCTATAAATATAATTTTGATCAAATTTGCCTGCACTAAAAGAATTATGTTAATGTACTTGTGCCGTTTCCGAATATGCCAGTTTCGATTGGCATGCGAGTCAAAAGTGTTCAAGTCAATTCTTAATTTCGTATCGTTTGTGGTATTATCAATCTTGGTAATATACATGGAAAATAAAATTTTTTTATCATATTACCTTCTTTCTCTCACTTTAAACATAATACAAAAATACTTTTTTTTTATACTTGTGATTTTTTTTTTATTGATGTAAAGAATATAGAATTTTTGCATTTTAATTAAGATATAGACCTAACAATTCCAATATACAATAATTCTGTACTTATTCATATTTAAAGTGTATAGTGTCGATTAATGATTTCCACATCTTTGTAGAAATGTCCCTCAGGCTTAATTTGTTTTCTTATTATTTTTGTAATAAAAGAACTATTATTTGTAGTTTTATTAATATTATCGCTCATCTCATTAGATCAAGAGGTATAATCGTGTTGTTTGGGGTCCTTTCACAAACCAGAACAAAAAAAAAAGAGAAAAGCAGATAAATTACTGAGACCTAGAAAAATAGGAGACTAATAAATTTTAATATTGTACGGCGGAGCTTTATAGAAATTATTTTTAATTCTCATTGCCCAATTGAATAAAGATGATACCATTATTTTCCCCCTGAACTATTAGTTACAAATCCTCTTTTTCCAACTGCACCAAGATCAACGTTAAATTGCGATACAATTTAAAATAAACCTAGAATAGATGAAGTTACTCCTTCCATCTAATAGAGGAGGGTTTGCAGTTGTATTACATTTTTGAAGACCATGAGATTTTTTTATATTTTCCGTAAAATTATAAAACAAATTTTGGAATTAATTGAGAGCATTTATAAATTAGAATATAATAGATATTTATTTATGTATTTATAGATAATTAATTGATATTTAAAAAACATAAAATTTATACTGGTATATACGCATTAAATATTCAAATATATTATTGTTGTGAGTCATGAACTTTAAAGTCTTTAAGACCAATTAATTTTATCTTTATGAATTTTTATGTTGTGATAGAATTATAGTTTGTGTTGAAATAGTATT